GGTTATCGTCCCATGCCCACTAAGTGCACTCTTCTGCATATCATCCCAAATCACTGCAGTCATTCAAGATGCTAAAACCTGTGACAAACAAGATGATATAAAAGATCTAGAGACTCTTGCTAAAAATAGCATATTTAATTATTCATATTTTGTACATAGACATTTTCCAAACAATGACGCATTTTTTATAGAATGGAATCAACGTGTAAGTGTGGGCTGGTAAAAGATACTGACAGTATCTTAACCTTAGATAAAAAATATCATGATATTGCTCTAATTGACAACTTTTTTCCCATTGAACACAATACATTTTATTTTAAGAAACATTTGTAATATTTTGGAACAGTAAACACGTCAGGCTAAATAATAAAAACAAATCATTGCCTTCTGTTGTCTTCACTGGTTTCAAAAACAGATTTCTTTATAACTTAAAAAGGCATCTTAGAACATCTTTCTTTTCTTTAGATATAAAGTAAGCCACTGCACTGTTCAGGTCTATAGTAGTCTCGTATGTTGCTGTATAAGTGATTTGTTTTTCAAATGTTTGCTAAATCATAGCCTGACCAGTAGCATTTGATGTAGTCCTTCCCTTTGTGCTGAAGATACTGTTGTCATAAAAAACTAAATAAAACAGTCATAGAAAAAAAAACTATAATATAAGGTAGAAACCATATAACAGATTTTTTTTTTTTTTTGGTGGTTTTATATCCTTGACCTTTCGAAACTGTGATAAACCTTGAAACCAGTTATCATCCCATGCTTACCAATGAGTAGCATTGCAACAACAGCCCTCTAAATCATTTTTTAATCTTATATAAATTTTGAGAAAATAATTTAAATGCAGGATTTTTAAAAATGTTTCTTGAAAATTGGTCAAAAACATAGCAAGACGATAAAAATATTTTTACCATTTCCAGATTTTCAGAATGCAAAACTGAATTCTTAGCATTACTCTAATATTCAGTGCTGCATGATTCTCAATTCCAAAATTTGCAAATTGCACTTTTAGGCAGTTGTATTTTAATTATATATTGCATTGTTTTTTTGTTTTTTTAAGTCAGACGAAAAACATTAAAATAAAATAAATGTCCTTACTGTCATTTTAATACATCCCCCGAGTAAAAGCCTTAATTTATTGTTTGATAGCTTTTTTCTTAAAATATAAAAAAATATATTAAACTAAAGTAAAAATTCTATTCAAAGTAAATTGTAAAGCAATTAAAATAATACTTATTTAACTTTTCTTCATACAATAAAATTTATATCACCAATAGCTTTCACTACAGGCATCAATGATTCCATGAAGAAACTTTAATATTCAATGTCTTTTAACATTTATTATAAAAGGATTCGCACAGTAAAAACTCGCAAGGTTGACAATTCTGTACGATGCTCGGACTGAATACCAAAAACAAATTCACATGAATTGCCAGCTGACAGTATTTCACAAAACTTGGTACACATCCAAGTTAACGGCAGTTACAAAGGTCAAATTTTGTATAGAATAAAATATAAAATATATAGAATATATTTTGCATTGAAATTAAATTAAATAAATGTCCTTCCTGTCATCCATGAGTAAAAGTATTAATTTATTATGTTTGATGCCGACTTTTTAAACTTAATAAAAAATTTCAAGTTAAAATTCCATTTAAAGTAAAATTAGTAAAATAAAATTGTACTTTACTTTTCCATTATAAAATGTATACATTAACCTCTCAAAGTCAAGTGCTATTTTGAGTTTTCCTCCTGGACTTTGCCTACCCAAATTCAAAAATGTCCATATAATTGTATATGTTGTTTGTGTTATAATAAACCCTTCCATAAAAAGAGGCGCTTTTTTTATTTATAAACTCAAATTTGTGTACCTTTCAAGTAAGTGTACCTTTTACGTTATGAGTGGTCTAGGTCAGGGGTTCTCAACCTTTTTCACTTCTTTCTCCGATCAACTTTTGAGATATATATATATATATATATATATATATATATATATATACATACATATATATATATATAATTTTTTTTTTTTGCAACAGTTATTCTATTCCAAATAATAAGAGAACAGAACCACTTATGGTGGTATTGGGCAAGTACACAGATCTTTAAAATTGAAAGAATGCGGAAGTAAATGACATCATGGACCTGGTACCGGGTACGCAGAGTTTAAAATGTATAATCACAAATAGCATTTCTCTATAGCCATCAATGATTCCAAGAAGAACCTTTAATATTCACATCTTCAATGGTATCGCTTTGTTTTTTTCCAGGTACCTTTACCTCACAGTGTAAAGTAATAAATAAGAAAGTATTTTATTATAAAGGATTTACACTGTAAGAATCACAAAGTTATGACAATTCTGTATGTCACTCGAACTGAATACAGAAAACAAATTCACATGATATGCCAGCTCACAGTAATTCAAAAACTTAGTAGATCCAAGTTATTGCCAGTTACAAAGGTCTAAATTTGTATAGAATACCCACAAAAAAACTCTACACTACTCATTCTTCAGGTTTTGCTCTATCTATAAAACAAGCAATAGGAATCCCTGACCAGATGATAAAATGACTGGCCAATATAAGTCTGGCCTGCACCAGATCTTCTCATTGATCTCCTCAGCAACACTTGACATGGGAGGAGGAGCGAGGTTAGGAGTGTCATGGGCCTGAGGGAGACTCGTCATCAAGCAAGGTCGGTAACACACTGTCTGTGTGCCATCAATCTCATGCCTCTGCCCATCCCCCCTTCCTGCCTGCGTCTCACGCAGCCTTCCACGCATTTCAGCCAAGCTCACTCTGTTAAAACAATCTCAGCACCTTTATTGGGCTGCCTCATTTACTGCCTGCATGCAATTACAGGCTGAGGGTGGCCATCTTGTTTGCAGTAGTTGCAGCTGGCTCCCTTGCAGTGCAAACTGGTTAATACCAATATACACACTCAAAAAAGAGGTAATGTCTTATCCGTGGATAAAACACTTGATAATTTTGAAGCTTAGGACTCCAAAATATCCAGGCAGTGGAACAGACAGGGCCGTTAAGATCTTAAAATAGTGAAATGTTCACTTAAGCCCTAAATCCTTAACATCAAAGGCATGCACGTGTTAAATCAGCACTTTATTTAGAATGTATATCACTTTGACTTGTGACCTCCTAATAGCACCGCAAGACTGGAGTGTTATATGTGCTAAATTCCTCAAGAAACTTCTTCTGCAATATAATCAGTCATCCATTTAAGCACACCACAAATATGAAAGATAACATGCCTGGCTGATTCAAGCTATTACTCCTAGCTATATGGAAAATAAAGTAGAGTTTAAATTGTAAATTGCATAGAAGACTCTGAAGACACATCTAAAAGAGAGTGACAAATGATAAAACCCCATTTAATTTATGGGCATACACTTTGCTAAATATAAATATGTATAATATATATATATATATATATATATATATATATATATATATATATATATATATATATATATATATTTTTTTTTTTTTTTTTTTTAATCCCTTAGTGGGCATTACACGCAACTACACCCCCACGTCTACGTAAATAGCATGTTTCCTAAAAGTACACTGCCATCTGGTGTTCACAATAAGAACATCAACAAATTAATATTTTGGAAAACAAATGTCTCCTCAGCTCTTAATTTTTCAAGACTACTATATATCTCCCTTTTCTCCTTAACTATTTCTTAAATATATTATACAGCTTTTTATTTAACCTTTAAATTTTTATTACATGCACGAAGCTGTCAATTATGCCAACCTATTTTAAGTGAGCCTAAGTGTAAGACACAAATATTAGAAGGAATTATTTAAGCATGATAGACATTTACCATCTGTTTTTCAGCGTCATTACCAAGCATTCTAGTATCAGGTTTCTGTGAGTCAGCAAGAAACGTAGAGAGTTGTTTACTCAAGCTCAAAGCGTGTATGCTAACTGTCACTGAGGGTGCAGGAATTAAAGCATGATAAGATCTGAAATCATTGCAGACATCGGTCAAACAAGAAGAGAACATACAAATAATCAAAGTTCGGCACGGGAGCATAACAATAAACATTCCAATATTAACACAAAATCCTAACAAGACTCGTTCTTCTGAATCGGTTCTTTTAAATGATTCGTTTGAACCAGTGTGCAGACCGATTCTAAGAAACGAATCGTTGTTCGCTTATAGACTACCACAAGTGCAATTTTATTTTACCATCCATGTAAGGACACCACAAATATGAAAGATAATATGCCTGGCTGATCCAAGCTAGTACTCCTAGCTATATGGAAAATAAAGTGCAGTTTAAACTGTAAATTGCAAAGAAGACCCTGAAGACATATCTAAAAGAGAGTGACATATGAAAAAAATATAATTAAAAAAGTATGTGCATTAACTATACTAAAGGACATTATAAAGGATATTTACTAAAGGATATAATTATAATAAAATTAGGAACGTTTTTCTGAATCGGATCTTTTTAATGATTCGTTTGAACTAGTGTGCAACAGACCGATTCTAAGAAAAGAATTGTGGTTCTTTTTCTGAATTGTACCACGAGTGCACTTTAATTTTACCATATTAATTTAATATTTGACACATACGACGATATTCAAGTTGCTAAAGTATAGCCTATTAACAAATTCATTACAAACATGACGTTTACTCGATTTTATTAAATTTTATTGGCCCAGACACAATAGTTGATCTTAATGGTTTGCATTTTTAGCCACGAGACGCATTCGAACTGACACTGAATCATGGTTTTGAACTGTCCAAAAGAACCATTTCGAGGAAATAAGTCAGATTTCCCATACCAGTTCGTTTCGCAATCGCGTTGCTTTTCGCCATGCGTTTGAACGTACATCCCTTGCATTGGCTGAAATTTGAGTGACGTATTTGCTTAACCTATAACAAGTAAATGGGTGAACGCGATGAGAACTGTAAACCAATCAGAGATCCAATCGCTGTACTGTTACCATGACGTCTCATGTCTCACGTCGACCTTCAAAGCATCTTCCTTACAGATGGGGATTTTAGTTTTTCTGAGAGTCTGAGCAATGATTCAAAACCAGTCAAGGCACTTCATTTCCCATGATGCAGCGGTTCTCTCCGAAGCACCCATGCTTCTGTTTTTGTTATTGTTGTGAGAGGTTCGTGGTACAGCTCATCTCGGCAAATGTGTCAGTGTAAATTAGACTTGTCATCAGTCTCATACACGCTTTCTCTTTTATGACAGAACATCGTTTTCAAGAGGATATTGTTTTGATTACCTAAGCTAAATCGGGTGAGTTTTGCTATACGATGGTTGCGTTTTTCCACAAAGGAAAAAAAAAAAAAACAGCAGCATAATCAGTAGGACGCAGCTACTGTAAAGACGAAGCATGCCGTGTTTATAACCTCCAGCTTATTTCAAGCGGTCTCAAGGAATACACATTATAAAATCAATTTTAACATTGTTGCTATGTTTTTGTTAAATTGTTGCAACAAAGTGTCCGATCTGCTGATGCATTGTTTTTCTTGTTGCCACGCTGTAGCGAGTAACTTGAGATTGTTTCTAACTTGGGCCTCGCTTTGCAATAGCCATCCACGATTGTCTACGACGCAAAGAAAATATTTGTTTTATCTTCGTTATTCAGCAAAATAAAACAAACTTAATTGTTGAAGCAATACAGAACTTATGCAATGGTTATTTTCTTTTATGCCACAGCAGCCATGCGTCAAGTAAAATTAAAAATGCATTAACGTTTCTGTATTTTGTTTTATTTTTAGTATTTTTGTATGAACCATTTTCACACACTTTTTAATAAGTCATAATGAAGAATCATTTAATGTATTACAAATTGTTTATACAATTTCTCAAACTTAAAAAAAAATGTACTGAAACGAAGCTGCAAGATTCTGACATCAGACACATGACGTCAGAAAACGTCCTTGGTCGTTTCATGGAGAGTCTAAATATGGAGGGTTTAGTTTATTATGAGTTGCTAATGATGGACGCACCTGTCATTGCTTGTAATCCATACAGTTCGCACAGTGGGTCACAGCATTTGTGGCACCTGCCAGCCAGTCACAAATGCTCTCGAAGAGCTGATGTGTGTCTGGCTAAGAAAATCTGCACACATTATCAATCACCCTCAGGAACTCAGCATCTAATTTAACAAACAGTTCCTCTTGACTTGCGCAATGCATTCACCTCTCCCCTACTGTCCTCTTTAAGCCTTGATAATAATGCCCATACCTATTAATGCCTGTTTAATGTTATGTATATATGTAAATGTGGATATAAACAGATGTGGAATGCATATTTATGATTAATACACATGTGCATTTGTGCATATATGGTAAAATAGTTCCTATTGACCAATTGACAGTGTATAAAGTCACCATTAAATCAATGTTGCCAATTATTATTTGGATTATATATAATCTTTAATCAAAATAATCTCTGAAATACAGTAGTCAAAATTTTTTTTAAAAAGTCTATTACTTTGATGAGAGTTGGCTTTGGTCCACTTAAAATTTTGACAACTGTATATACAGTGCATCCGGAAAGTATTCATAGCGCTTCACTTATTTCACAACTTTTGATGTCCACACCTGTCTTTGGGAATTTTTGCTCATTCCTCTTTGCAGTACCTCTCAAGCTCTATCAGGTTGGATGGGAAGCGACGGTGCCATCTTCAGATCTCTCCATGTTCAATAGGATTTGGGTCTGGGCCACTCATGGACATTCACCGTGTTGTTGTTAAGCCACTCCATTGATATTTTGGTGGTGTGCTTTGGGTCATCGTCCTGCTAGAAAATGAACCTTCGCCCCAGTCTGAGGTCAAGAGCACTCAGAAGCAGGTTTTCATTCAGGATGTCTCTGTACATTGCTGCATTCATCTTTTTTATTATCTTGACTAGTCTTCCAATTCCTGCTGCTGAAAAATATCCTCACAGCATGATGCTGCCACCACCATGCTTCACTGTAGGGATGGTATTAGCCTGGTGATCAGCAGTGCCTGGTTTTCTCCAAATGTAACGCCTGGCATTCACTCCATAGAGTTCAGTTTTAGTCTTATGAGACCAGAGAATTTTCTTTCTTATGGTCTGGAAGTCCTTCGGTTCCCTTTTGGCAAAATTCCAGGTGGGGAGTGGCTTCCGTCTTGACACTCCACCATACATGCCTAATTGGTGGATTTTGTGCTTTGACATGCACTGTCAACCCTGGGACCATATATAGACAGATCTATGCCTTTTCAAATCATGTCCAGTCAACTGAATTTATCACAGGTGAACTACAATTAAGCTGCTAAAACATCTGAAGAATGATCAGTGAAAACAATGTACCTGAGCTCAATTTAGAGCTTCTCGGCAAAGACTGTGAATGCTTACGTACATGTCAGTTTTTCAGGTTTATATATATATACACACATACACACACATTTTTAACATTTTCAAAAAATATTTTTTTCACATTGTCATTATGGGGTTTTGTGTGTAGATTGTTAAGGAAATAAATGAATTTAATCCATTTTAGAATAAGGCTGTAACATAAAAAAATATGGAAAAAGTGAAGCGCTATGAATACTTCCTGGATGCACAGTAGTTGAAAAACAAAATGTTCATGCTGGCTTTAAGAATGAGAAATGTGTTCCCTAAAATTGCTTTGGATTTAATGTGTCAATTTTCATTTTAGAAAACACCTCGGGTGCATCACTATTCTGTTGCCATGGAGAAGACATGGAGGGTGGAGTTTCGTAATGTTGGAAGTTGCTACTTTCCACAGAGCAGAGTGGACTGTCACTACACCATCAACCCACAGCACACATGGGCCAGTAATGACTGGATTGGATTATTTAAGGTCAGAAAAGCCACCTCTACAATTTCCAGCACCGATACAGCTTTTTTGCCCAATTAAAGTTGATCTTTTTTCCTTTATCCCCAGGTTGGCTGGTCATCAGTCAAGGAGTACCATACATTTGTTTGGGCAGTAGCTCCATCCAGCTACAAAGAAGGGACCTCTGTCAACTGCTGTGTTAATTTCCAAGGTCTCTAAAGCATTGATTTTGGTGTTCAAGTTCTCTTGAAAGTCAGCTGATGGTCTCAATACAGTATGAATAAAGAATAGAGTGCTTTAGGGACATTAAGCTGCCAATTACAGTTCCTTGCATTGATTCAGCCAACTGCTGGTCTCATTCACTGGGGTGCATTCAGTACATTAGCAAAAGTTTGTCCTCAGATGGCCAATGAAAGAGATAAAAATGCCTCAAAGGAATCTGCCTGTAGTTAGTTATTAGTGGGGATGGGTAGGATGCTCCAAAATGATCCTAGATTTACTTGCTTATTTGATTGTTTTATAATGTGCATACATTTTTTTAATCCCAGTTGGCAATACTTTAAAATAATTAATTTAGAGACAGTGTGTAAAATGGTTTTACCATGCTGTCTTATAGCGTGCTGTACCACGAGCATAGTAAAATACCACATCACACATTAAATTGTTCTGTGAACGCCCTCTAAGAAACATGTCTAATCAGTGTTTAGTGGATCCTGATTATTCCAGAATTTCTATAACCAAATGGTTGACTAATCTTTGAGACATTAGATCGTTTTTGACAAACAAATACATAATAATAAAATATAAATACATAAAAAAGCTATACTTAAAAAAAAAAAAAAAAATTGTGTGATTTGTCCTATTAAGTTTTTGCAATCTTATGCGTCTGTGAAACTGTCAACAGGCCTGAGATTTGCACATTGCAGAATGGCAGCATTGTAATTTGTGGTGAGCGGTGGCGATGGAGACAGAATGTGTTTAAGACCTCACAGAGACACCAGATGAGGTCATCAGCAGTGCCTGGGGCTTCATGAGATTGTGTAGGAAATCTCCAGCCTCACTATCTTTGAATAGCCAGACAGGAACTATTCAAATATGTGAAGCTTACATTCAAAATCAGATCCCAAGCATGATGATTGCTTTGTTTATATTTTTTTAGCTCTCTGTTTGGCCTTTCACAGCTTCCTTTTCTTTCCCCCTTCAGCTTCTTACCTACCAGGGCCTAGTGCTCAGCAGTACCAGTTTGTGTATGTGGATGGAAAGGGAGAGATTTGTTCTTGCAGCGCTGCCTTTACCTTCTCAGCACCAAAGCCCCTGGAAGAGCTGGTGACCCTGGAGGAGGAGGGTCAAGGAGAGGAAGTGGGCGAGGACATGTTGCTGGTCATCCCTAGAGCTCAGCTACTGCAGGTCAGATGAAATCGAAGAATGCATAAATACTGCAATACAGTTCATTACACACATATGATTATACCTGCTTCTGCCATTGAACTAAGCACACTTCCCAATATGTAACGTCATGTCTCAAAATGAAATGTTCCGCAGTTACTAATATATGGAATATCTTCTTATTTAGCAAAACATAATCAAAGCATTTTGACGAGTCAAGATCTGAGTAAATTGGATGGTATGCAAACAATCTGGATATTCAGCGTGGTTGATTCAAGAGAAATGGGCTCAATTAAACTGACTAGCCAAAATTGTTATGGAAAGGCAACTGGCTTAGAGTCTCTGCAGTTGCTTGTGGGTTGCAGCATTGGTGAAAATTTACAACAGTGGCCTGAGGGGGAACAATCCACAAACCGGCAACAGGGGTTTGGGCTTTCTGTGCATGAAGGCATTGACGGGTGAGCCATCTGTTCTAAACCGACAGAAGATCTACTGTGGCACAAAGCACACAAATTGGTCATAGAATGTTAATGATGCTTATGAGTGAATTGTGTCTGAACAGTATCTAAAGCGGTGTAGCCACAGACCAAAGGGTATGTGTTGACCCGTCTACCACCAACACTAGATTATCTGAAGAAAATGATGAAGAGTTCAAGGTATTGTCATGGATTCAAAGTTCCCCACATCTCAATCTAGTTAAGTGTTTGTTAGATGTGCTGGACCAACTGGTTCTATGCAAAATATTCCCCAGATATCAATCCAACTGAGCATCTGTGTGATGTTCCTCACCTCACAACATATACAGTACTTAAGGATCTGCTGCAAACATCTTGGTGCTAGATACCACAAGACACCATCAGGTTCCTCACTGGATGTGCAGTATACCAATGTTGATTTGGCAGTATTTGGAGGACCAACAGCATCTCAAGTAAACCAGAAATTGGTCATTATGTTTTGATCATTGGTATATATAAAATAGTAATAATAATAAAACAACAACAGTATGTTTACAATACTAGAGTAAGAACATTGCTCATATTTTTTTGTAAAGCTCTAATATACACCTTGCAAGACATGGTAAAAATTAAAAGGAGAGAAACCCCAGTGTATTGCTACAGAAGGCTTCAGACCTCAGACAGAGAGTCTCCTTTCAGCATTTTCACAATGCGCGGGTTTGTTGTGTGGTTTAAAGATCACATGAATATCTTAGACGCCAACTAGTCTATGTTGAGCCTTCCGACCAAGTCAATAATGGCATTTTGTTACTGGTGTAGCATTGTCACTGTCTTACTTCTCTTTGTTATTATTCAATTAACTGCAGTTGTATTTTTGGAGCAACAGCATATGTAAGAAACACATTTAAGCTAATTATTCAGATAATATTATCACATTTAACTATATTTAATGGTTTATTATATCATTGATTTACATGGTCTGCCACAAAGACACATCAGATTGTTATGTACAGTCCTTTTAAGGTTTTTCCTGAATGATGTTTAACAAAGCAAGGAATTTTTCACAGTATTTCTAATAATATATTTTTCTGTTTGTTTTATTTCATCTAGAATAAAAACATTTTAAGGGGAAGGGTTTTATAGGTTTGTTTTGTGTTCTATATTTGGTACACTTTTGTTCATATTTAGTATCTCATACCAGCACAATTGTTATTCCTTTCAGTGCATACTACCATTCATATGACTTTTTTTGTGCAATTTTAAACATGCTTAATTATTTTGTCCCACTTTATATTAAGTGGGCTTAACTAATATGTACTTACACAGGAATTAATAGTTTGTTACAATGTACTTATTGTGTAAATACATGTATCTACTGTGTACTTATGCTTGATTAAATGCATGTATGTAATTACATCTGTAATTAACTTTTGTAATTACATTTGTAAATACATTGTTGACCATCCCTTACACTTTAACCTACCCTTAAACCTACCCATGCCACCAAACCTGTCCATAACCCAACCTCTATCCCAACTCAGAAGCACCACAATTGTTCTCAAATACATGATAAACACAGTAAGTATGTTGTATTTATTTTTTTGATGTAAATAAATAGTAGTTAGGGACACTTAATATAAAGTGGGACCAATTACTTTAAATTAGTGACATAGAACACGAAAGGCACAGGTCATGTAATCAAGAGGAAGAAAATTCTAACATTTCTCAAAAAAAAAGGTGCATCTATAGCACTACTACAAGAAGCGCATTTATCCGATAAGTAACATTTGAAACTGAAAAGAGATTGGGTCAGCCAGATATACTTTTCCTCGTACGCGCCAAATAGCAGGGGCACCACAATTCGTGCTAATTTCTGGTCTAATTCTTGGAAAACATATTACTGTAGGCAATGTATAAGCCCCAAATGTGGACTGCTCTAACTTTGTCTCATGTCATCCTAAAGTTTAATCATCTCTGCAAAAACATTGGCTTCTTAGGAGGCGATTTCAATAGCATGCTTGATGGAACTCTGGATAAATCCTCATCTCAGATTTCAACTGATTGCAAATCATCACATATACTGTGTAGTACTTGTAAAAGATCTCGGATTGGTGGATATTTGAAGGGAGCTGCATCCTAAAGACAGGGATTATGCTTTTTATTCTCACCCCATAAATCTTACTCAAGATTAATAATTTTTTTAATACCATACGATTGTATACATTATGTGAGTTGTTGTCAAATTGGCCCTATTGTGCCGTCTGACCACGGCCCAGTTTATTTAGTCCTTGATATAAGTATACCTATTCAAAAGTCTATTAATTGGAAATGTAATGTTTATCTCTTAAGTAATATTAATTTCTGCTCTTTATTTAGACAGAAAATAATTCAGTATTGGTAAAAAAATCAGAGCTCCCTAGTTTCTCCTTTAATAAAAAGGGACGCAGCTAAGGTTACGTTGCGAGGTCATCTTATTGCTTATGCTGCTTTATGAAAAAAGCTTAGGATACAGAAAAAACATTAGGTCAATATTATTAGCCCCATTAAACAATACTTTTTTTTTTTCGACAGAACAAACCATCATCATTATACAATGATTTACCCTAACTTGCTTAGTTAACATAATGACCATTGATAAGCCTGTAAATGGTACTTTAAGTTAAATACTAGCATCTAAAAAAATATCTAGTTAAATATTATTTACTGCTATCATGGCAGTAAAATAAATCAATTATTAAAACTATTATTATATTTAGAAAAAAATTAAACAGAAATTAGGGAAAGATTATATAGAAGCGCTAATAATTCAGGAGGGCTAATAATTCTTAATTCAATTGTATGTAATAAATATAATATTTTGATTAACACCATAAAGAGGTAAATAATCAAATTTTATTCAATTGACCCCAATCATCGTCTTCTCTGTTGTTCCTCCTAACAGAGTCGTCTTCAGGAGTGTTTAAAGGAGCGTGCAGAGCTGCTCCAGGCTCTAGAAGCTGCAGACCAGAACGTGGAGAGGGAGAAAGGCAGAAGGGAGAGAGACAGAGGGTCCTGGGAACACACACGCAAGGAGCTTGAAAGGAAGATCGACGATCTGAAGGAGGAAGTGAGAGAATATAGAGAGAAAGTGGAGGACATGAAGAAGAAGCAGAAGGTAGTGTAAACACTCATTTCATCAGCCTGTGTGGTCAGCCCTAGGTCACAGTTGTGTGCATATTTTGTCTTGACTATGTTTACTGTTGTATATATGTTCACAGAGAGAGAGACACACACTGGTAAAATGATAACAGCTACATATTTTAGTTTTACTGTTTAGTGTACTACCATCATGTCTCTCTTTTAGGAAGTTGAGGATTTAGGCGAGGCCCTGACAGAGGAGAAAAGAGCCCTGCTTGCTCAAAAAGAAGCGAATGAGCAGCGAATCAGAGAGCTTGAGGAGGACATCAAAATACTGACCCAGAGGGGCTTGGAGAGAGAGACTGACTTAGAAAGGTGGGAGGCTTTGTATCTTCTAGTCTTTGAATGTACTTGTTTGCTATATATGACATGTCGATGCGGACATAGGGGCCATTTATTTACGACATTGTTTTTGGGCAAATTCATGAAAACTGTTGCTTGTTTGTTTACACAATGAATTGTTTCTAAAACAAAGGTTTTAAAGTGCAAGATTTTTTTAATGTCATCATTATAGCATCCATGTAAACACCCAAAACTTTTCTGTTTTGTAACATTTTTGTCCTCCAAGTGTAGCTTTACATTTTGTTTAGAATTTCATGTTTTCCATCTCACTAGCTACGTAGTCAGAACTGTCAAGAGCATCTGTGCTCTGTCTCACATCTTTAAATGCCACCACACACTCATTGCGTGTCGTCATTGTTTTCTGAGGTGAAAGTCATTTATTAAATAAGAAAAAGATCCACGCTGCTTTTCGTATCGCAGCAAATTCCATTTTAACTGTTGATATTTGGCACCAGTTAATCAGAAAGTGACGATTTTGTTCTCTTTGACTGGTTGGATGGAAACGCTGCTTTATTCACACATCTTTTATGCATTATTCAAGTTTTGCGCATAAAGTTAATTAGCATTTTGGAATTTAAACATATGTAGCTAGTGTTGATGCTTAAAACTCTACAGATTTAAACTATTTCAAAACATTAGTGCGAGACAAGTGACACAATTTTATGGTGTCCTTTGTTATAAGTTTCTTGTACTATAGTAATAATAAATTATACAGTTATGGTACATGCAACTGAATCTTCTAAACATCAACTTAACATCACTGTAACCCTATAGTACAATTATTAAGTGAATATCATTCAGTGTGTAAATGTATAGTAACGAGGACATTGTAAAAAAAAAAAAGTGTAACCATAACCTGTGCCTTTAAGGAATGTAGTAACATAATCAGCTAATAACAGATATTATTGTCAGAAATCATAACTGCAATAAGTGTACCATGATTTATGTTTATGATTAATGCGGCACTGAAATTCCAGCAGCTAAAATGTATTTTGTCAAATCAGGAAAAAAAAATTTTGATTGTAGTTGAAATAGTTTTAGAAGGCTGAAATCAATGACTGAAAACATTTGCATTTCGAAGAGCTATTTGTTTGTGGTGCAAACCACACTGCTTGTGTTGTAGTGCATGCTTGTTTTCACCTTATATTAGCATATCTGAAATGTGTTTTTAGTGACCACTTGCGATCAATAATCAAGATTTTGTATTATTATGATTATTATTTTCTCATTAGTCAAGTATATTTGCAATTAATGTGTTTTAAAAGTAAATATTTCTACTGTGTTCTCTGGGTCAAATCAGGCCATGTTAGTGTTTCATATACTGTGCACATATGCATCCACTTCTAAACAGTGTTTTTATTGTCTCGTTGAGCTGCATGTTTTCATTGGTTCTCATGTTTGCGATTTGTAGGATGAGGGAAAGGGCTAAAAAATCAGCAGCTCAGAAGAGGGAGGATGAAGATGAACACAAGAACCTGAAGGTTTCTAATCTAATACCAATGCAGTTTTTTACAAATAGAAGAGATGTACATGCTCATGACGTGTCATTGTTTTTTGCATTATACTAGTTAAAGATGGAGCAGACAGAGAAAGAGCTGCACAGTCTGTCAGCAGAGTTCCAGAGTCTGAGAAGCTCATTGGCCCAGAGAGACACACACGCCCTGCAGCTTAGAGACACCATCACCACCCTCACACACAAACTCAACAGCGCTCACAGGAAGGAGGTAACACTTCAGCAGTTTCACACCCCAGCTTTCACCTTGAATGTCTGAGGAGGTGTACACAGGATGTCCTGTCTCAAAACAGTGATTTGAAATAGTGATCTTAAAGTGCATGCTATTTTTATAAGGGGGACAAAGTTTGACTGATTTGTATGGTCCAGACAGCCCCTGCTGGTAGATTGTATAACTGCACAAAAGAGGCTGAAATCATGCATTATTGACAATAATATACAGGGCTCAAAATTAACCTTTTTGCTCAGTAGCACTGGTGCTCCTCACTGAAAAAATTTGGGAGCACTACACCGTTACTACAAGTTTTATATTAACAGATTTACTTCATTTAAAATCAACATTAATCAAACTAATAAACAACAACAAAAAAATCTTCATGCGCCCACACACTTCTTGACATGAATGAAACTTAGTTACTGATAATAACTGTGCTGTTCTCACAGGTGGTGTCTGATATTCCAAAGACGCTATTAACATTATTTGCATACGTAATCTTAATAGCAATACCGATCTTTTCATGAGCTGCAATATTAGGTTAATCTTAGTGACTGTAAGCCCTTTTGCTATGGTGTACACTGTGCTACATTTTACATATAGCTGCCAGTTGCATGGCTGACTGCATGACAATTAAAAGAAGGATAAAATAGAATCTCTCAGGCTTAAAGGGCACCTATGGTAAAAAATCTACTTTTCAAGCTGTTTGGACAGATCTGTGTGTTGGTATAGTGTATAGACCGTCATACTGGGGTGATATGAACACACCCAGTCCTTTTTTTTCAATTTAACTACAAAAAAAGGGTCGGCCAATTGGAGCTGTTTTTAAATCGATCGCACCATTACGTAGGTGTGCGATCCCCCCGCCCACCGAATTGATTGACAGCTGCGCGCATTAACATGTTCCGGTAGTCACGTGTATATGTCAACAAGACCAGGCAGACATACGCAAAGCAACCGGGAATAAAAGGTCTGTTCTGTTCGCTAGGATCAGCAATCATCATCAAATGTGATTAAGAGTAAGTTTCACATGTTTAAAGTGTTTTAAAACAGAGTATGTATGTAACTAATTACAGCGCTTTACTTCATCAGCACAGCCACGTGTCAGAACAATTATAAAAGAAGACGCTTCAATCCCGGTTTGTGGAAGTTAAATCAGGTTTAATTTGTACATTAGAATAACAGATATCCACACAGTACTTGAGGTTAGCCTTAACTAAGCTAAGCGCGCTGTGTCTGTCTGCCTGCCCGTGTGTGTGTGTGTCATCTGCGGTGTGCGTGTGTATCTGTGTGTGTGTGTGTGTGTGTGTGTGTGTGTGCGCGCAATTTGTAACGATATTGTGTGTGACTCATCAATGCAACTTCACAATACTGATTAGTAAATGTTAGTTCTTACTGTAGTATCTCACAAACGCTACGTGAGACCTTCTTCCTTTAAGTCTGTCTGTTGTCTGACGCAGCTGAGGGAGGAGGCATTTAGAAACAGTAGGCGGGAAAGACTCGTCTTAAAGGCGCAGTACGACAAAACCACCCCCTGCTGGAAATCAGTATAAAACAGCATCTTGTAAAAGGTATAATGAAAAATCTGATGGGTATTTTGATCTGAAACTTTATATACACATTCTAGAGACTCACAAGACTTATATTAAATCTGAAAAAAGGGGTAACCTAGGTGCCCTTTAAATAGTAAAGATGTGGCAAACGTGGTTACCTGCAAACTCCGTCACACCAGCTTTACAGTGAATGCTTTAATAATTTTCACAGCAGACAAAGATGTATTCTGCATAAATGTCTTCTAAATCCGCGCATGCGGTGAACATATTGCAGTGAAAATGGTCGCACGCCAACGTTATGCACAAACGCTCCCAATTATTTTTTGAGGTTGCATAGATAAAATTTCAGCCGCATGTGACCACAACTGTCGCAATTTATAGCCCTGATACAGCACATGAACAGAAACCTAGGTGTACATACATAGATGCAAACAAAACTAAACAAATACTAAATGTAATGTAAATGTAAACTAAATGTAAGTAGTCATTACAAGGCTTTGTTGTTATTAATTGTTATTAATTACTCCTCATGTTGTTACAAACCCCTGAGACCTTTGTTAGCCTTCAGAACACAAAGATTTTTTTAGGATAAATCTGAGAGCTCCCTCATCCTCTATAGACAGCAAGGTTCAAGGCTCATTCAAAAAACAGATACCAAAAGACACCAAAAACATCAACAACAGTCATGAATGTGCACAAGATACTGACACTGAGGAAAGCAAATTGTTGAATTAAGTTGTTTTTGTTTGTGCACACAAAACTATTCTCGTAGCTTGATATTTTTCATTTTAAACCACTAAAAGCATGGTCTGTTTGTGGATGTCTTCTGGTACCTTTCTGGACTTTGATTGAATCTTGAACCTTGCTGTCCATGGAGGATGAGAGCGCCCTCAGATTTCACCTAAAATATGTTAATTTGATGATGAAGACAAACAATTGTCTCAGGGGTTTGGAACAACATTAGGAAGAGTAATTAATAATAATTTTCTATTTTTTTGGTGAACAGACCCTTTAGAACTAACACTTGTCAGCAGTATGAATGGTCGAAGCATTGTCTGATTTGGCTGTGCTGCAAATATGATAATAATATTGTTAAATATTCAAGATTTGTTTCTCAGATATGCACATTTGACAGTAGAATTGAATTCAGAGTTGCATGGGCTTAATTTGTGATGCTGAGGTAATTTTATTATTAACAAAAACAGCACCAACTCTAAAAAAATTATAACAGCCTCATGTTTTGTGCATTTACAGTTCTTATAATTACTCCCGAAAATTTGGTATAAATTTGGCACACACACACACACACACACACACACACACACACACACACACACACACACACACACACACACACACACACACACACACACACACACACACACAGAAATATATGAAAAGATAGCTAAAATGGACGCCAGAACTGTAGTCTGATAAGGGCATGACGTTTTCATGTTTGTGTCATTGTTGAGCAGGCAGCCAATGAATTGGCTTTGAATGAACTCCGAAGTGTTCAGGAGCGTCTGAATGTTAGTGAACACTGTGTGGAGACTCTGAGGGGAGAGCTGAGAGACATGGTTGCTCAGAGAGACAGTGCACATGCTGAGCTCCATCAGGCCCGTCTGCAGGCCGCACAGCTCACACTTCAGTTAGCAGATGCCAGTCTGGCTCTGAGAGAAGGCAGGGCCAACTGGGCACAGGAGAGAGAGACACTGCAGCAGAATGCTGAGGTACATACAGTATAGTGAAAATGTATATTAAAAACAAAACCAAAAAAACAACTTTAAGATTGTTTTTCATATAAGTGATTGCATAAATTTTCAGATTGACAAAGTGCGTCTGGAACGCCAAAATGATGAGATCCAGCAGAAGGAGGAGATGTTGCAGAAGGCAAGGATGGAGAGAGAGAAAGCAGTGGTGGAGCTGGGAAGAGAGAAAGATTGCAATCGGGTAAACAGAAAACTCTCTTCAGGGTTCCCAAGGGTCATGGAATTTTTGATTTTAAAAGGTCTATTCCAGACATTGAAAGTCAGGGAATTTTAAATATTTTTGTCCAGGCCCGGGAATATCAGAGACTTTTGTTTGTCGCTTAAAATTAGATTCCATTTATCAAAATGTCATTTTTCTGTACTTAATCTTGTTTTTTATTATGTTGTTTCACACGTTTTGCCTATTGTTGTTTTTTTCAGTGCCATTTTATTCCTTTCTGCTTGTTAACCAGCAGTCATCAAGCTGTACCTGTTAACTTATAGAAACATGTTAACAAAATGTAAATTTCAATAGCTGTCTCGAAAATGACCACGTCGATGACAGGGTGTTAGACTGTGTGCTCATTTCTTTTCATTTATTTAAAAAATCTTGATAAATTATGTTGTTGCTTTCACAATAGCTATTACATTGATGAAAAATTCCAGCTCAAACTATTTGAATATTATGAGCACTTTCGACTTAATGTTGTGCTTTATTTATTAATTAAGCACAGTAACACTGTTTTTCCATTCATTATAGGCCATGGAAATTCAGCTTTTTAGGCAGTAAAAATCATGTAAAAATAAAGAGAATTTTACATCTGGTATAGATTGGCATGTTTTTTTTTTTTTTTACAAGAAAGACTATATATAAAAAAAAGCATATAAATAACATTTACTTTAAAACTTAAATATAAACATAATATTAACAAATGGCATGCAGCCAAATCAAGTAATTAAAAATCAGTAATTAAAACTAAGTTTTTAGACCTGTCTAATACACTTGGGAGTTAACATGGCCAATATCACATGCTTATCATTTGCTTGCAGAAATTTGACTAGTGACCTATATTTGACGTTTGCTATTTAAATTGAATGTAAATGAAGGTGTCAATATATGTTTGTAATGTCAAGTAAATATTTGAAATCATGAGTCTTGGTTTTTTTTTTAACAAATTTGTGTTGGTGTATAGGTTCAGCTAAGTGAGACTCGGCGTGAGCTTCAGGAGCTAAAGGCAAGTCTCAGGGTGGCTCAGAAAGAAAAGGAACAGCTGCAAACAGAAATACAGGCAAGATCTATTTTCTGTGCCATCATGTTCTTATCAAAGCTCAAAAGTCTGGTTCGCACAGGTCATACAATAAGTTCGCAATAAAGTTGTTTAGTGTTAGTTGTCCTCACTTTCTTGGTAAACAAATATCGCATTCACAAGAGCCTAAAGGCAATAGCAAAAACATGCTGTTGTACTAGTTTTAAACCACAGAACAACCTGTCTCTTATGGGTATGTTTTGTTCTTTGTGTGTCTGACAGCTCAGGGACCCTGGTTTTAAAGCAATTTTCCACATAGTAAATGCACTTATACTGGAAACTGAGCAGACAAGCAGACCCACGGGACTTAAATACAGAAATCTGAAGCTTGTATTTTTGTTAGTCTTTGCTTGAATTCTTAAGTAAAGAAATCTTACGTGAGCTATAAACTTTATCCTTTCGGAGTGGATGAACATCTGGTTAGCATGTTACTGTTGTAATAATAGTGAATGGAGTTTGCAGAACATGGCAGTGTATTCAGGGATATGCAGTTGTGAATCCCCTTATGATATCCATTTTCTAATACCAAAAGAAAGTAACTGGGTTTAGATATTTAGCTAGTCCTAGTGCAAGGTTAAATTTTTATAAAATTGAATTAAGGAGAAGCAAATTTGTCACAAGAGTCTCTTGATTTTTGAAAGTTTATTATCATCGCTATAGGCTTTCACTGTAATGTATTTCTAATTCTGTCTGATTCTATTGGAAAAAAAGACACATTCACTTTAGGTTATGAGCTGAAGAAGAAAGTTGATAAATTCTCTCTATAGTTGTGCTAAAATAGAAAACAGAAAATGAAAATGTTATTTAATTTAAAACCACAATCATCAATGTAAAGGCCCTCGTGTTGATTCCTAGGTAAAATGTGTACCTTTAATGTAATTAAGTTCTTTGAATTAAATCATCTGCCAAATGGGTTCATGTAAATGTTACCCCAGAATGAGTAATTCATTTTAAATACTGCAAGTACTTCATCTCATACATTTTTTCAATCAAAGTTTGGAACAAACATTACTTTAAAAATGTATATGAGACTTAAGACAAACTTGAGAGTTGAGACATGATCATTTTATGACCAAAACATTAGGTTAGCGTCAAAACTCCTAACTGGCAATAAGAATTGACTGAAATCTAATCCATTACACCAATAGTTTAGGGACAGGGTGATGAACGGTATGATATTTTAAACCCAACAGTATGACATTATTTCACTGTATACAATGTGAGTTTTGTTATCTTTGTGTGTGTGTGCAGGAAGTGATGGAGTACAGCCGTCAGCTGGAGAGAAGGCTGGAGGTGCTGAGCGATTGTAAATGGAGTGAGACGGCCCTGCTGCAGAGCAGTGAGTCACTGTGCTTTCTTTAATTCTGTACAAACATCACTACACAACGACACTATTGTGGGTCTGTCTTCTTTCTTTATTGCCCTCACACAACAATACCACAGAACTGCAGGCAGCAGACAGCCACATCATAAAATGCCACACACCACTGCACAACACTGCGTTATACGACCCTGCACAATCACAAGACTTCAACATTGTACAACACAGCACACTAACACCACCTCCCGGAAGCATGCAACTCCACAAAGTTTCAGTGGAAGTTACTCGGTTTATTGTGCTGAACAGGATTTTGACCAGTATAAGCTTCAAAGTTGACATAACTTTATGCTGATTATAGTTAAAAGTCTGGCTTGACATTGCATAAAAATGAAGCTGTGAGCAACAGGAAAACATATCATCTCTGAACTACACTATAAAAAAAAAAATAAAATAAAAATATATCTTATATCAGCAGCAGTTAGCAATGTACCAATCAAGAGCTTGTCTGTTGAATGCCCAGGTGAAATTAAAAGGGGCTTATTAAAAATAGTGTACTGCAGCATTTATTACAAATGATTTATCCATGCTTAACACTTCCTAAAATTTATGATGACTTGTAATCTTTAATGATTATCAACATCTCTTCCTGTCTTTGATGAGGTGCTTACCAGCGTGAAGGCAGGACAGTTCACATAAGATTAGAGCAGCAATTGTAAACTACAATGATCCAATCAATTCCCTGGCATTTTGTCTTGTTTCTTTCACTCGGATATGCATCATAATAGGCATGAAAAATCTGAATTCCTTTTTCGCATCATGTTTAACTGTTTTCGTCATTTATAAGCTTATTTTAGCATCCTAGCAATGTCAAATTTAATTTATTAAATGTATTTTATAAAAAAAAAGTTTGTGTTCATGTTAAGTTAATGCTCAGGCATTTAAATTATAGAGGTTTAAAACAGCGATAGTTTAAATAAGGAACACACTCAGCTTGGTTGATCAGTTTAAAATTGATATTTAAATATTTTATTGTTTTATATTGAATTAGTTCCAAATGATAATCAAATATTTTTATACACTATTTAATATTAAATTATTTAGATTTTTTATATATTATTGTAGCGACATTCACAATTATATATATTCACATAAATCTCAATTAAAGTTTATTTGTTTTTTGCTTTTTACAATAATTATTCCAAAGCAGCTTTATAAAAAAATGCATGTTATTACATTACAATCAAAATCAGAAAGATTTAGGGTGTTGTCTATAGAGTGGACAGTATATACACACCCATACACATAGTATATAGTGTACTTTTCAAAAAGGTGATGTCTATAATACATTGTCAATGAAGTGATCTAATCATTACAATAAAAACAATAGCTGCATCCCAAATGGCACACTAATGGGTTTTTTCCTAAACAGAAATTCAAACTGTGTCCCTAATGAGGCTTGACGTTTGCCAAATAAGTGAAATAAATGACCGACGTACTAAATAATATCTTCCATGACTAAAACCGCATTCACCATCGGGAGCCGCTATAATCACTCTCGTAGGAGAATACTGCTTTTTAAAATCCAAAATAAATAAAGTAGTCCAACATGTGCGCCAGATAGCTCTGCCTCTTCCGCTATGTGAGCTAAGCTGCGATCGTTGAGTTTGTGAAGTGTCCATCAGTCCACACTTTATTTTACCCGTTAAATGAGTACATCATCTGGGTAATTAAAGTGCACTTATTATTTTTAGTTTAGTATTAGTATTGTTTTAGTTTTCAGTGTAAACGCACTTCTTACACTATTTATAGTAAAAAATGGCGTTGAATAGTGTATAGGTATGTGATTTGGGATGCACCTACAGTGTGTATTGTTTAATGCTAAAGACTTTGTGCTATAAACATAAATAACTGATTTTGTTCTGCTTGATTTTTTCCCTATAATTGGTCACTTGTGAACACTAATCTGTGATTGCGGTTTTAGGTCGTGCTGAAAGCCCACTGCTGTCTGATTCTGAGGATGAGAACCCGGAGGCCTTGCAGGACACACACTCTTCTGGGCCTCTGAATCACTATAGTCTGTGTGAGCAGCCCCAGTCTGACCTGCTGCTCCCAGCCACCCCACCACCCTCTCCCAGACATCCCTCCACAGTGGTCATCAGCCAGCCTGCACCCCTTTCATCTCCACACCAACCCAGTGCTCGCTCACACACTCACAGCTCTGAGTCGGTGAGGGTTTGTCATCATCAAGGTGTTGATTGTGCAATTACAGCCCCTCAAATCTGATCAAATCAAATGGCACAAAAGAAGCTATACATTTCTCAGTAATTTATTTTGCACTAAAATTATTCAGTTTTTTAACCTTCCAAATTCTAGAAAGAAACTTTAGTATATACACATACAATTATGTATATGTCAGCCCCGTAGGGGGGTTGGGGTGGTAAGACTCACCCCTCACTGACAAAGGTCCAGAATTTGTCCCATACATGTGCTCATTTTTCCTATTTTGACTGCTAATCCATAATAATTCTGAAAATAACTAATCGAAAAAGGCTTTAAAACCAAGCAAAATCCTTTGTTGGCTGTCGGTATAGAATTTAGGATGCTGAATTTGGCAAAGCTTGACTTCTCGTTCTTAGGTCACCATGCCAAATTCAGCATCCCAAATTCTGACTGAGAAAAGTTGAATGTGCTGGCCAGTTTGTTGTTTGCCTAATAAATGAAAAAAGCTACATTTTAAATCTAAATCTTTAACAGATTCCTGTTTTTTCTAATTATATATGATGTGATAAATTTGGTCATATTTCTTTATTCTAAATCTTTGGAAATGATATTGGTACATCAAAAAGTGTGGTTATGATGACCATCCGACAAGTTAATTCAGCTAAAAATAGTGCTTTAGATGCGACTAAAATACAGTATTTAAATCTTATAATTAAATAGAAAATGTGGTGAATTACTGCAAAAAGGTCTAGAGCAACCCCTTTGACCAGACTGGCTACGGACCTGTACATAATTGTACTAGTATTTAGTATTTGTTTACTTATTTTTACGAGACTCAATCAATATGTCAACTTTAACTTGTTCTATAAGGAAAGCGTCACATTGACACTTAACAACTTTCCCGATTAATTTGTTAACAGATTAATACAAATTCAACATCCTTATAAAGATATTATTAAAAATGACAATTTTGGAGGCTCAGAAAGCCTTTCTTAAAAAAAAGAGCTCTGAATGTGGACTTTGACTATCAGATGCTAATTTTGATTTGTTTATTGCATTTTTATTTATTCTTTCTATAATTTTTGTTGAAACTGACCTAAAAGTTAAAAAAAAAAAGCATTTCTATTTTATGATACAGCAGAGTTATAGATTGAAAAATGTCTGTCTATTCAGACTTGATTAGGAAAATATCTGAATAGAAAAATCATTTGGAAATGAATGATCTTTTACATGCACAGCTGAATAAAATAATACTTTAAAGCAGAATAATATTTTAGACTCTGTGTATTGAAGACCATAGAGGCGCTTTGAGCCAGAAGCCACAATTGTGTCATTCTCTAAATTGTTAGCAATTCCTTTTAGCCTTGACTAATAATAATAAGTATAATAAAACCTGATGCTTTCAGGTACAAATACACTTAAACGTGATTGAATGAACTCATGTCAAGTAGTTCATAAAGATGATGGAAAAAATCTGCTTGCGTTCTTCAGACTTGCCAAAACAGAGCCTTTATTCATGTGTATGTGATTGCATGTGTGTTTTACAGGAGGAAGAGTATGAGGCCGCTTTGTCAGGCGGGCACAGCTCTGGAGAGGAGACAGCTCTTCTCCTGCCTGACAACAGAGACACTACCCTCGGGTACAGCACGCACAAACACACATTCACTGTCTATAAACCCCATCAGTCACACTGTCGTTATCTGTGACCTGCAGACATGGGCTCAGATAGATTTTCACATATACTCTTACACAACCCACACAAGTAAATATGTCACTGTCGCAAAAACCGCTCGGCCCTTCTCTCTCCTGAACGCCTGGCTTTATATCTCCCTGTCACAGTCTGTCTCTTTTTCTGTCTTTGCACACTCGCACACGCTAATGCAGGCCTTTATTTATGGTGACAGTCCGAATATGGTGAGGAGATGGAAGTTTTGAATACCACCTCATAAAATTAGTGAGGGAGAAGAGAGCGAGAGAAAGGATAGGGGGAGTTCTGTGAGAGGAGGACAAGAGGACAGATAAGTTGACAGGAAGCTGTAGCAATGATTTACGGAGAGGGTAGTCAGCGCTCACCGGCCAATTTTCAGCATCATTAAAACCCTTTCTCCCTCACTTCTCTCCTTCGCCCTCTTTCTTTCTCTCCCTAACTCTACTCTTCTACCCCCTCCGTCAGTTTCGCTCTCTCCATCCATCTCTTTCGCCCCTATGTCATCTATAAACGCACTATTTCTTCCCAAACTCACACTTGTCCTGTTGTGTGTCGTCATGCAGAGAGCTGGCTGAGAGCCCCCTGTGGTGAGAAGCAGAACTGCAGGAATGGATGGCCTTTGCAGCGTGGACGGCTTTGCATCAGCGCAACACCTGTTAAGAGTTTTGTATTAAGAAGCATTTGCGCTTTATATTATATTGACATGAGTATTTAAATATGCAATTTGCTTTACACTTTATATGCACTTAGAATATGCATAAGCTGTTAGACCTCTATTGTGGGTGGCACACGGTTTTACAGTAACTTGCACGGACGTGTTATTTTACACATATCAACTGACAAGCAGAAAGCGTCTGTAATGAAGCAGGTTGCATATGAAGAGAAAGAATTAGTGTGTGTTTCTCTCTCTCTGTGTGTGTGCGTGTGTGTGTTAAGGTTATTTCAGTCTATCTTTTCTTGTGTTTTATTTGAGTTTAGTCATAAGGCTTTTACTTCTGTAACACTATCATTAATCAGCATCAGCAATAATGTAAAGCACAATGATATCGAGATCCTTGCAGATTTTAGATTTAAGATTCGTTTGGGTGCTCTTCATTGTGTAGCTCTTGTCGTAGAAGTTTTTGGAATCTTTAGTTTGAAGAAAGATGTGTGAATATGTGCAATGGAGTACACCAGCGACTGATTGTCCCGTTATTATGTAAGAGTAAAGAACGGCACTTTTGATTCCTTTCAGGAAGTTTACCCAATCTCATGCACAAGACTTTCTTTGGAGGAAATCCACTTAAGCATGGATGATGTGGTCATTAAGAAGAGTTTAAGTAGTCACATTGTAGTCATAATATCTAATTTAATGCTTTGACTTAAGTTTCATGCATTGTATCGAAACATTAAGAATTGAATTATTATTTGTATGCAAAACATACCAAGACAGACGGCTCAAGCACTTGGGTGTTCCTCTTGGTGTTGAAGATACACACTAGAAAGTTTTCAGAATGGACTTTGAATTGAACTGCTTTAAATTGTGCCTGACGAAATTCAAGGACTCTTATATTTAATTCAACTTAATGTGTGATGGCTTAATGGTGCATCACGTGGATCATGTGGTGAACATTATTTAGCTGTGCTTAGACTTTGCTGAAGCTCATTACCTGAGGAAAAATTCATAAATTTCCAGACACAGTGATTACATTTTAATTACATTCACAGGGAGAATATTTTAATGCATATATTAAAAAGTGAAACAACAAAGGGGATATTATGAAAAGGCATTATGCATTAAAACATATACCTGTTTTAAAATGTTTGAAACATTGGGCTCAGTGTACTCACAGAACTTTCATTTTGTTTGAATGATTTCTTGCTGTTTACTGTAGGTCAGGTTTAATTGGTTCCTATATGTTATTTGTCTTTTATACAACATGTCATTATCTGTATTGACTTTAGAAGTGATGTAACCATTACACCTCACTGAAACAGGTTTTTGCAGTCGCTCTGTATCCATCTATTTACTGTATTTGTATTGTATGCTTGACCAGATTTTACTCTGATAGTTTTTAAGCTGTACTCCAGAGAGTCATCTTTAGTGTCAGAATATATACGAGACTAAAAGCAGTTTTATTTTCATGAGTTACACTTCCCCTGAAATCTAACCTGAAAGCCCTGTTTAATCTCCCAGTAGATGCAGTAAAACCCTAGACAGCAAAAAAAAAAAAAAAAAAAAAAAAAAGAAAAGAAAAAGATTCCTGTTACCCCCACTATATAATACAACAGGAAACCGGACATTCTGTAATGTTTAAGAGACATTGTCATTTCAGAACACAGGTAATTTCAGGGCAGTACAATCAAAGAATTGGATTCATTGTTTGCTTTTTTGTGCAGTTATTCCTACTTTTGCATACTGTATCTAACTTGTTTTTAGGTTATGCGGTTCTGTTCAGGGTGTGGGATGGGTTTCATTAATAAAATAATGTAATGTTTTTTGTGTTCATTGGCTCTTCTTAAGCATTGAATAACATTTTGTAAAATAATATTTAGGAAGTTAATTATAGCAATAATTTCTGCTTTATAATAATTTATAAATATATGTTTATTTTGCATTACCTATTATTTACCTAAAATGTTGAAATCTATTAGAAAATGCAGAAATTTCACTTGCAGTACAGTTTTTTTATGTTAGTATTGGTCAATATTGTGTATTTATTTGTTCATCTGACTAATTTAACTTACAGTGTTGCAATGCAGAGCTTAAGCACTGTATCAATACTAATGTATGAAAGTGTTATTAATTTTTATTGATTTAAATTTATTTAAAAGGATAGATTTTAGCATTTTAATGCTTTATTATTTAAATGGCCATGAAACCCCCCTCTTACGGTTCAAGTCTACCTCTGAGTTTAAAAAAAAAGCTTCCTGATGGGTATGGAGAGCTGAGAACAGAGGGAGGAGTGGGTGTGGTCAGTTAGCTCACAAAATAAGACAAACTGAGGAGACGCATGATTTTATAAGTTAAAATTCAAAGAAATAAACAGTAAGTAATTTAATGCCTTGCTACATATGTTATTCGTAATTTCATATACACATAACCACAATTTGTTAGATTACTATAAAGATAATTATGTTTATATACACACTATAAATGAGAAGGACTTCTCTCCTCCTCAATCCCCGGGTCTGAATGCAGACACATTGGATAGCAGTGCAGCAGGTCTCTTTCCCTGTCTATTTCAACCTGTGGTAATCTGGAGTATTTTAAAAATAGGCAATGTGTTTGAATGTTAATGAACTAAACTGATAAAAGGAACGTCCACTATTCTCCAATTCTCATACAGCTCTCCTGACAAAAATACTTGCTACTTGCTGCACGCAAACAGCTTTGCTGTATCGCCCCTGACAGCATAGCTGGGAAAAACATGCAACAAATCCTGTGGATCAAGGAAACGACCCTACATAAAAAGCTGTGTCGTATGTGGACGTGATCTCACCCAGTCATTGGGTCTCACAGCTTGGCAGGTCTGCCTTGCCTTCGGAAGGCGCGGGCTCAAATGAATAATTAAAAAGCAGGGTCTTCTCATAAGATAAGAAAACTCTGCAATGAATAATAATGTGGAACCGACGTGTCATCACTCCACTAGCAGATGCATGCTACGTCACCGATTTTGATTGGATTTTGTCCCAAAAATTATTTTAAACCCGGAAAATGAAATTACCTGACAAAAGCTTAAAATTATCCAGTTTTCCCCACAATTAAAGCTAACAGGTGCAAAAATTGTCTTAACTGATGCTCAACACACACAAATCTGTTTAAATTTTTTAAAAGGTACTCCAGGGTTTCTTAAACCTTTAAGCAAAATAGTATAGAACTATAATTTCACAATATTGTAGGTTACTAGCAATAAAATGAAGACGGTTACTTTCTAATTAGTGTTGGCCATAATTGTAATATCAGTGCATTGCTAACTATAAATAAATACTGTATAAATATTGTTCATAGTCCACAATAACTAATGGATAAATAAATAATACCAGTTAAAGTTGGTAGTACATGTAGAATTCAGAAACATTTGCTAGAAGTGAATTAACCAGTGGCTATTTAGCAAACTGCAGTCAGCAATGTATTTCATGTGCTTGGATTTATGAACAGTTACATACTAGAAAGAAGGTGATTGAATGCATGATATATTCACACTGGCAGTGACAATTAGATACTTTTCTCTCATTCATTAAATCATACAAAAAAAATGACAGCAGTGAGGAAAAAAAGCAGTTGGGAACAATCAGCTGAGGTAAATAAAATAACACTTTGATACATTTGAGACTGTAGTTTGAATTATTCCCCTGTATTAAAATCCATGCAAACATACAGCAAACCCCGAATTCTATAAATTAATCAGTTTTCACAAGAAAAACAAAGCCCAAAGACCAACAGCTACATTCGATTACAGATGCACTGTGCTGGCTTTTGATTTACCTGTAAAGATACTTGTGTAAGATTGGACCATTGCCCTCCTGTTATCCTCTCTTGCTTTTTAACAACTTTTTGCTGACCTTCACCTCATTTTTTTCTCTGTTGCTTTTCTTATACTCCCTCTGTTTTTTTCACCTCTCCACACGCACTCCCCTAGCAGCATGACGGGAGCTAATTATAAAATCAATGGAGCCGGGCTGCCTGCTTTACTGCTGCCTCTAAAACCTTAACAGGGAAATCACTGTAGGATTGATGACTCCTTCACTCTTTATCTCTTTTAATTAGAAATGTAAAAGATATGAAGAGCCTGGGGCCACAGCACTGCACCCTGGCATTACAACAATCTACCACAATCTACCTGCTCTCCCTCCTTCCTTCCTTCCTTCCTTCCTTCATTCCTGTCTTCCTGTCCTTTACTGGGTTTTTGATGTTTTTTAGAAAGTCACTGCCCCGATATCCTAGATTTGTAATGTGTAATCTCCCCTATATGTCTCTGTCGTTCTCTAACACCTCCAGCCAGAATCTTTTCTCTAACATTTGAAATGAAAAAAATTATTGGTCATTTTGCATTTTATTAGGAGCTGATGGAATGGTATTAAACCAGTGCAGCCCGTATGGTCTCCTCTTGCTGGGAAAGATATTAGAGCCATTCTTTTCTTTTACATCCTACTGTAATTCCTTTTTTTCTGTTTTCTTCACTTTTTGCCTGAACCCCTTTCCTCATTACTTTATTTCTTGCATCATTTTTGAGTAATATGAACCTTTGGTGCATTATTATTATTAATATAATTATTAATTCTGCAGGTTTATTGTGCTATTACTTTTCTGGTGAGTGGATTTACATTTTTCGGCAGAAACATAATAAAACAGGGGAAACGGTCTTATTAAAAAGATCTTACCCAAGCCATTTATTATAGTGGAGTATCATAGAGATTTTGGGATAGATCGGTAATCAACCACAATGCTGGGCTAAAAACCACTCTGAATCTGAATACACTGCAATGCCTACCATATAATACCACACCAAAGATTTTTTGGCCTGTGTCAGCCTTTAGTCTTAGCGAAAAATGTATAGCAAAATGTACCGTTGAAACAAGTGCATTTGAATGTTTCTACAATGCAAAATAAGATAAATTAAATGCAACTTGTCCCAGATATAATTTCAGATCTTGTTTGGGCTTCTGAATGTGTTCTTGCAGATTAAATGATATTATACCAGTCTACATTGTAGTCACTGGCATGCTCACTAATAACAAGATTATTTCAAATAATCAGATAAAGAACTTAATCGCGATAAGATGTTTACATGACACAAGCAGACATCTTCACTTACATTTATTTACAGCTTTCTGATTAATGGCTGCACGATGGCGCAGTGGGTAGCACGTTTGCCTCACAGCAAGAAGGTCGCTGGTTCGAGCCTCGGCTGGGTCAGTTGGCATTTCTGTGTGGAGTTTGCATGTTCTGACCGTGTTTGTGTAAGTTTCCTCCCAGTGCTCCGGTTTCCCCCACAAATCCAAAAACGTGGTATAGGTGAATTGGACATGCTAAATTGTATGAGTGTGTTTGGATGTTTCCCAGTGATAGGTTGCAGCTAGAAGGACATCAGCTGCATAAAACATATGCTGGTACATTCCGCTGTGGCAACCCCAGATTAATAAAGGGACTAAGCCGAAAAGAATATCAATGAACGATTTTAATTATTTCCTACTGTCAATGGCTGCTTTTTTCCCTACATTCTGTAGAAAACCTTCTTTTGTGTTCATTCATTCATTCATTTATTTTCTTGTCGGCTTAGTCCCTTTATTAATCCGGGGTCGCCAAAGCGGAAAGAACCGCCAACTTATCCAGCAAGTTTTCACGCTGCATATGCCCTTCTAGTCGCAACCTATCTCTGGGAAACATTCACACACACTCATACACTACGCACAATTTAGACCACCCAATTCACCTGTACCACATGTCTTTGGATTGTGGGGGAAACCGGAGCACCCGGAGGAAACCCACGTGAAGGCAGGGAGAACATGCAAACTCCCCACAGAAACGCCAACTGAGCCGAGGTTCGAACCAGCGACCTTCTTGCTGTGAGACGACAGTCCTTTCTTTTGCGCTCAACTAAAAAAAATTAATTCTTTAATTTCTTTTTTCATTCATTCATTTTCCTTTTGCTTAATCCCTTATTTATCAGGAGTCGCCACAGCAGAATGAACCACCTAGGCTTGGGCGGTATCCAAATTTTGATACCGTCAAACCTCCTCCCTATTTTACCTCGGTATCCAGTATTACCGTACATAATACAAAAAATTATGACGTAAGGCTCAGACAACGTCAAACTGTTGGCTTGTGCCTAAACCATTCAGAAACTGAATACCGTATTTGCGACCTTAGGTTCACGGTCACCTGTTTGTCTTGTTCGTATCAGATATCTGCGCGAGACGCTCACTCTCATATACACACGCACACACACACACACACACACACACAAACACACAGAGAGAGAGAAAGAGAGAGAGAGAGAGAGAGAGAGAGAGAAAGAGAGACAAAACCACGGTCTTTCTCTCTCTCATTCTCACACACACACACACACACATACACACACAGAGCGACACACAACACCACGCGCTCTCTCATTCACACACACACAAACAAACAGCATCCACGCGGAGCTCGCTCGGGAGCGATATTGTTAAACCGTGCGCCCGATCCCTTCTAAATTACACCAGAGTTACTGACCGTTCTAAAAAAATTTTAGGACAGTATACCAGTATTGAAACTAACATCGTAACTATTTTTAAATCCCGCGGTATACCATATTACTGCCCAAGCCTAGAACCACCAACTATTATGGCATATGTTATACTCAGCGGATGCCTTTCCAGCCGCAACCCAGTACTGGCAAACACCTATACACTCACATTCACACACACACACACACACACACACACAAACACACACAAACACACACAAACACACACAAACACACACACACACTACGACCAATTTAGTTAATCC